CCTGCAACGCTATGACCTACGTCATAGCGAGTAATTCACTGTTACACGCTGCTTGGGAAGTTAACCTGGTAGCTGCACTGACAAGGCCGGAGCGAGCAATGGTGTCGCCAGAGCTGTTCGGCGCTGAATGACTTCCTTGAGTGACGGGAGAGTTTACCAATCGAGAAATAATTAAATGTCTCAAAAAAAGTGTTTTTTAAAAAGGAATCATAAAACATTTTAGGTGACTTGCGGCACCTGCAGAGGTGATCCTCTCAACAAAACAAATCGATTGGCACAATTCTTAGCCCTTTAAGATATTCTGAAAGAATTCTAAAGAAACACTTTATCGTTTTCATGCAGATTCTTTTGAATTACAGAAATAGCATGTGCATGTGCTCTTTCTGGAATTCAAAAGAATCGATACGATTTAATTCATTAGATTGGTGATATTAAACCTCATTTTGTTATTAAACATAAATCTTAACAAGTATTTTAATCGATACTTTTTCATATAACGTCATTGGACATAGCCTTCAAAAGACGAGTCAGGACAATGTAATATGTTTAAATTTGTTCTATTATGAACTTGCATAAATAAAACTTATTAAGAAAGCCACACTAAGGTAGTATAACAGATATTTACTGATACTGAGACTTACATTTAATTTCTTCATATTTTTCAAAATCTATGACTATTACAGTTTCCGTAATTGGTTAACGCGGCAAAATAATGTGATGTTTTAAAGCATTGAGGACAATTTACACATCACAATAAACTGTTTCTTGCGACGAAAGTGACAGGAAAGTTGTAAAGGTGAAAGTTGTTGAATGTTGGAGCCTATTAAGTTATCCAGCAGTCAATTGCTAGTCGCATTCTCCTTTCTTACATGTATTGTATATCTTTTGCACATCATATGCTGATTTTAAATTATCCAGATTACGAAATGTCCAAGCAATAGCTATCACATATTTTCATCGTAATGTAACAAATTAACCTTCATTTTCTTGCCACTGAGAGTTTTAATTTTATAAACATCAATAAAGATAAATCCATGGTTCTCAAGAGAAGTTAAAATTCAAAACTATATTTTTGAGTAATGCAAAAATGTTTAGAAAACTGACTGAGGAATTTGACATAAAGATAGCTGAGTAGACAAACAGTAATTGGGGTCAATTATCGATTTCTCTCAGATTAAAACTGTTCTTCTGAAAACGACAATTTTTGAGCTGTATCTTTTCTTGTAGTCTGAAGAAATGTTTTCGAAAGTGACCACAGTCCCTCAAGGTTCTGGCTTCAGTGCTTATTAAAAACACAAGCGTTGCTCATACAAACTGTTCTTCGCAGCTCATCACCGCCTGCATTCTTGCTGCGGCATTCGCCGCTGGTCAAGCCGGCCAAGCCACCAGCTACGTCGGCGGAGGACTGCTAAGTTACGGAGGCGGCGGTGATGGCGGTGATGGCGGCCACGGCAAGGACTACTATGTACGGGAACTCACGGTATTTGGTATTATGACGGGAACTCATGGTATTTGAACCCAACATATTACGTTCCTTCACCCATAAGAAAATATTGTTTCTTCAATTAAAAAGTGGAGTAAATAACTAGAAAATATGATCGTCCAAAGAAATAGATTTCGTTAGAAATAAAGTAGTTATCTTCAACCAAATATAATTATTTAAGTGCGCAATTTTTTCAATGCAATAATTTGCATTACCAGCATCTTAAAATTTAAAGAAACCAATTTATTCGGCTACATTTTATGTATAACAAAAGCAATATCCATTAACTGCTCTGATAAATAGTTATTTTTCTTCTTCACGCAATTTGTTTTCGGAGATTACTAATACTGTTAAATACT